ACTCAGTGCATTTTTGGTGTTATAATGGTCTAGCATATATATACCAAATAAAAACCCACCGCTTTGAACTTCATGCATGCCAGTACACATGCATACCAGTATTATCACTACGACATGATGTAAATGCACATGATCAGAAATTGCAAAACCAACCATCACTACTATAAAAAAACTTTGTTTCCACTTCTAAAATTACCAAGTATACAGCACATTTACACATACCCGTTGGAGTGGCATAATCTTATACTAAAATATTTTTACACAGTATGAATTTATGGTGGCTATAGCCGGCCCCAGCCTGGCTGTGGCCCCATGCAAGCCGTACAAGCATCAATATTACATCGGAGCTAAAACTAACTCACCTCCTAGACACCATATATTGATACAGTATCCCCAAAGAGAGGTATCAAGGCGGCTGGCAAGGCGACATTTACACGGTTACACTGGCCCGAGTGCCCTTGACATGTCTTCTCGCGAGCACGTGCTGTATAATTAATGGATGGGTGGAATAATGAATACATGATACGGGAGTATGCGGGCGGGTAATGGGAAACAAGGAATCATATGGGAGAGGCCTAATAATAATTAATATTAACAATATTACTGAAAATAATAATAATAACAATAATAGAAAATAATGTTCTTAACTTACTGAATTTTGCACAAATGACACTCAAGATGTCTACTAGTGACTCAACTAAGTTCTTTCTCGGGGTGCTTCTTTTTTATATGCCTTGATAGCCCACTACGACTGAGTGAAGAGCGATTTGTCACAATCATCAAAAGAACAAAAAATCGAAGGAGAAGGCGTAGCCATACAGCACAAGTGACAAGAGAGGTACCAAGTGAAAAGAAAAACACGGTAAAAGGTGAGAAACGACGAGAGAAATGGTGAGAAACGAATGGAGAAAGACCGCAGTGACAGCATTACAGCACACGTGTTAACATCATTAATTTTTGGGTGGAGTAGTAGGCGTAGTTAGTTAAAACGGACGAAGACGGAGTTATCCAAGATGGCAACGGTCTCTACCTATAATGGCTTGTAAGAGCCACACACCTCGCCGTATTCAAGAGAGGCAGTATCTATCAGCGTATGCCGCTCTATGTCTATACAAAGGCCCTTTAATAATAGTTGGAATCTGATTATCTGAATCAAGACAGATGCTAGTCTGAATCAGTCCTGAAATCAGCACTGATTTTTTGCATTTTGGGCATTCAGTCACAACTGATACAAAAATGAAATCAATTGCGAGCCAAAGCAACAGGCATGATCATGCATAGACTTGATTCATTTAGATATTGCTGATTCAGACATGATAACTTTTGGTTGTGTATAGATAGATCTACTATATGTTGCATAAAAATGTACAGTAGTGTCGTGTATATACACAGAGCTAGTCTCGCGGGGCTGGCCAGCGAGACTAACACAGAGCTAGGTTTTTAATTTTTTAATCAGATGCAAACACAATACTAAACACATTAACATTATAAAGTACATAATAAAAATTGCTCCGACAATCATTATCTTGTTCATCTATCTACTAATGTATGGGATAAGGTAAATTAGTGTGATGACTGATAACTTACATGAAGCAGCAATCTTATCAGATAATGTAGAAAGAACAACATGACCCTGTTCTTTTAGTATAGATAACAATTAATATACTAATTTGAGTGGGATAAATCTCAATTAATAATGTCAATATTTCCAATAAAAGTTCTACTCTTTTTTGATAAAGGCTGGTTATTCATTCTATCAAATAACTCATTATACTGAGAAGAATCAACAATTTGTACCTCCTTACAACCATTAGCTACGTCACGAAACTTTGCTTCTGAAGTTATAAGGAAACGTTTCAGATCATTAAGGTGCTTCTTGATGTCATTTTGAGAACCAGGATTAGGAACATCTTTAGTACCCACTGAATGAGGTGCATCTATAAAGTACACAATTGAATAGATCACATTTACATGTACTACACCCATTACTGTTATTATACCTAATAAATCTTTCAGGGATCTGTTAATATTGATTGTTCTTGCTTTACGTAATCCTTTCAATGGTATAGCATACATCAGTGCATGAACAGTATCAGGACGACTCCTGTCAGCATATATTATTACTCTCATGACCAAAATGATCTAAATCTCCTTCTTCAATCTATTTGATCATTATACACATATCAATAGCCAGCAATACCTACATGGTATACCCATATCCAACCAGTTATTGGTTTATCCTGAGGACAAAATA